TTTGTAATGAAGGGAGTATGTCACAGCCTAGAATCAGTGGCAATAATACAGTTCAATATGAGATCACCTGTAGCCAAGGCAGGTACATGTATGTCTTAGGAGCTAGTAAAATGGTCCTAAACGAAAAGACAGCCGGTATTTCAGTCATTATATAAAAGGCAATCAGGGTTAGGGTGAGGCGACTCTGAACCTTATTTTCTTACGATATACTGTAATGTTGTACACTGACATGTTACGGCTTGTTTGATACTATGGACTAAACTTTTGTTCTAGGTATCCAATCAGGTGGAGTAGTTTTTGGTTTTTAACCAACTAGCAATTTGTTCATTAATTGGTAAATATGAACTAATATGGACTAAGAGATGAATACGAGTCTTTGTCTAGAAAAACTATTTGTTATATCTAAATAGCACTGGACTAAACTCTAGCCACCTAAACTTCAGTCCAAATATATACTTTAGTCCACCTAAAATTTAGTTCTAGGTGATTTAAACTGGCTGCTAGTTTTGCCTCGGCATCCTGGACTGTGGCAAAATAGTTAACCTGCCCCAGATCTAATTTGTTATTTGACGGGACCCATTCCTAGCACTTTTGACCTAGCCACGCTTTCTACTCATCCTGGCTGTTGCTGACGAAAGGGACCTGCATTTCAGTTTGTCTCATGTTGGAATCATCATCTCGTCGACTACCATGATTGCGGAGTGCCCGAGTCCACTCCGGCCTGCTGCCTAATTTGATGGAGAAAATTCCTTCATTGCCATTAGAAATTATAACAATCCCTTCATTGACATTCAAAATTATATATTCCCTTCAATCGACGACCATCTTCCTCTCGTAAGGTTTATGGGTTTTATAGTATTGGTAGCAATTACATCTCGAGGCGAGGTTAGATGGAATGGGAGTAGGATAGGGGCAATAAGATGAGATGGAAGTTGACTAATAGCTTGTTTTTCTTTTGCTTCATGATACAATTTAGAATCCTGACAATTATAGCATTGGCTGAGGAGTTGTCTCACGTATGTCGTTTAGTTTTGCACGTACTATGAGGTTATTTAGGAATCTCTTTTGAATAGCCTTCTAGAAGCAAAATCTAGTCAGGAATAATGTCCTCCAGAGACCTAGGGTTTGCATCCAAGTTGAACTCTTCTTTGATGCAAGACTACTGGAATGTTGTGAAGCAATGAAACATATGTGATTTACACTTTCAAGCTTACCACATAGAGCACAGAATTCACCCCACTGCCAATTATTTTTTTCCTTCTCTTCTGCGGCTGATTGGATCTTATCATGCAATGTTTGCCATAGGAAAATATTTACCTCCAAGGGCATTTTGCATTTCCAAATTTCCTGTGCATTGTAGCTTGAAACATTCCTCAGAGTCAAGTATCTATACATAGATTGACCCCTGTTTGTATACTGTCTGCACTTTGCTTGAACCCATTCAACCCTTGTTTCTATCCGTAGCTAATAATATGGTACTTAGTTCATCATATTAAGTAGTTCCCACTATCTAAAGATTTATTTTGGACAAAATGTCTCCAGAACCCAATCTCTCATCCCCTCCTTGTAAATGTGAACTAGTTTTGTGAATTTATCCCTGCAAGTATTGAAGACAAAGGAGAGCTTCCGCCTAGAACCACTACCCACATCGCCCAAATTTTAACTGTCCGTCCAATCTTTCATCGGATGGCCACGATTGCCTAAAGCAGATTTCATCGGGAGCGGATTCTTAGCTTTCTTCTTGTAGATCCTTATAAATATGCAATTTTCATCCGAAAGCATCTCTAACGTAAGGCGTTCCATCATACGACACAGGAAAAATCTAGCGTGGTCCCTCGGAGCCCTCGAGGGCCGGGGGCGGGCTCAGCAGGTAGTCTAGTAGGACTACCCTAAAATTTAGCCTAAATATTTTTTAAGTACTCTGTGCAGCCCATGAGAATCTGGCCCACCCTCGTCTCTCCCACTCTGCGGCCAGCGCGAGCGCAAGCGAGGCAGCCTGCCGCCGTCTCCCACTCTCCCCTCCTCTCCCTTCCCTCCCGACGCATGCGCGAGCACGACCGAGGCAGCGAGGCTTCCCGACGCCTGGCCGCCGACGCCTCACCGGCTCACCGCACCGGCCTCCCCCGCTTGGGCGCCTTGCCAGCGGTCGCCCGACGCCAGCTACCAGAACCATCCCGCCGGGGCAGCAGCGCGCGGCCAGCTAGCGCGCAACCTGCGCCTCGTCTCTCCTAGAATGGCCCGCGGCCAGCAGGTGGCTGGGCCGGCCGACGCAGGCACGCAGCGGGCTAGCGGCCGTCCGCCCACGTCCCCTGGTGGCCTCTGCTCTGGTGAGTTTCTCCACTTCTTTCTCCCAAATCCCATTCTTTTATGCAGTTAAGCCTTAGGGTTTGGATATTGGAGATTGGACTGTAAAGGCTTAGGAATTGTGGACCTATCATCTGTGAGCCTAGAATTAAATGAAATTTGTTGTCATTTTTCAGGAAGTTGAGACATGAAGAAATCAAATATTGCATTTCTTTTTCAGAAGCATATTGCTTCTATTGTTATTTGTTTGGTAAAGATCGCCGCTTTAGTTTTATTTGGTTTCATAAGTACCACTGGATTGAATATAGCGTAGAAAAGGATGCAGCATATTGCTTCTATTGTTATTTGTTTGGTAAAGAAAGTGGAAAATTTATTACGAATGGCTGGTATAATTGGAAAATGAGAACTAAATCACTTGGCAAACATGAGTCTTCAACTTTACACAAGTTTGCTCAAGAGAAATACAGCTTGTTTGTGAAAAATGGTACAAAAATTGGATTATAATCTTATGTATGATCTATTTGTGCAAGTTTCGAACCTATTTATGTAAGTTTTAAACCTTTTAAATGTATTATCGCAATTTTGTTAATTTATAGCCATTTTACCGAACTTTTTCTTTGACTTTTATCGTTCGGCACATGGAATTTTTTGACTAGGACTACCCTGGTCTCAAATCCTGGGTCCGCCAAGGCTGCCGACCGGGCCCGACTCCACTCAGTGGCGGCCTAGTGGGTAGTTCAGGTAGGCCCAGGACTACCCTGAAATCTGGGTCAACAAAAGTTTACTACTTCACAGCCCATAAAAAATTTGGCCCAAACAGGCAACATCGTCTGCGGTCCGCCCAGGCAGCAACCAGACACTCCCGCGCGAGACGCGAGTCCACGACTGCGAGTCCGCGACTCCATACTAGCGACCACCACCCCCGCCCCCCGGCCAAGCCCCGAGGTCGAGCGGCGCCAAGATCCCCCGTCGGCCACCGCCCACTGGCTGCTCGACCCCTGCCGCCGGCTGCCCACCTCGCCAAGTGGCCGCGCTCCACTAGTCCGGCGGCGGCGGGCGCGCCATGGAGCTGGTCGGGATAGCCGGCGGCCGCCCAGTGCCCCAGTCTGCCGTGCGCTCTGGCCCCGCGCTAGCCTACTCTAGTCCCTGGTGAGTTGTCAGGTGAGTTTATGACGAAACTGAAGATTTGTATTGTTCATGGCAGAGGCGGAACCACCACTAGGGCGAGCTAGGGCGGCCGCCCTAGGTCCCCCTGGCTGGGCACCCGATCCCCACCCCTGGAGTTGCGAGTGGCGAGGACGAGGAGGCGAGGACGACGCCGTTGCCGGCCGCGGTGAAGACGGCTGACACGCCGCATGCACGCAACAAGCCAGCAAGGCCCCGAGCCAGCCTCATCCGTGTCGTGGGCCTTGGTTGGACTGAGCCGCGGCTGTCTCTGGCCCAGCAGCCGCCAGTCTAGGCTAGGCGCAGATAGGGCGACTGGGCGACACCGCAACTCCTGTCTACCCGCTCGTCGCTCGACTACGCTGAGCCGCACTCCAGGCTCCGCTCGCCGCCTGCCCGCCTCGCCTCGCCTCTCCCGGCCGCCCCCCTCCCCGCTCACCGCCTCGCTCTCGCCACCGCCGCGCCGGCCGGCGGATCATGCACTAGCCCGCCTCCCGCCGGCCACTGGGCGCTCCCAGGCGGCCAGGGCTCAGCGCCACATCCGCTGGGCCGCTAGCCAGCCCCCACGCGGCCACACCGCCAGGCCACAGCGCCCAGCCACCGGCCAGCCACCAGGACCCAGCGGGCCCTGCCCCTGCTGGCTGCTGGTTGCAGGCCTGCAGCTCCACACTACAGGCTGCTGCAGGGTTTTCGGATTTTGGATTGAGGGATTTTAGAATTTTGGTCATTTGGTGATTGATGGGAGAGCAGATGAAACCGTTGTGGGTTATGGAGGAGATGAAGCTGCAGTCTGCAGATTAGGTAGACATCTTCAATTCCACTATGCAAGAAGCGCTATAACAAACTAGTATTGTCAAATTTGTGCTTAATTATTTGATTTGATTACTTATAGTCAAAATTTTATAATACAAGTTCGCCCTAGGTCATTTCTCGGGCTGGATTCGCCACTGGTTAATGGGTTGGTGAGAGTTAGTACATGGAGCTTATCTGTTAGCAGGTCCGGTGCGCCGGTTGAAAAGAACTGAGGAAAAACAATTGATCTATCTCTCTTGTAGCCTAAACTCCTCTCCTCTTCTCCTCCCAACTTATCCCCAAAATCATCTCTATTTTATCTCAGATTATTGTCAGATCCTTCCAGGGTCTTGTTGTGAGTGCTTGTGTTTACTTCTGAACTTGATTTGGACATTGGAGAATATAGAATGGAGATTGGACTGTAAATTGGCCAATTGGGCTTAGGGAGTGTGGATTTGTGAGCCTAGAATCGATTGAAATTTGTTGTTTTTTCCATGAAATTGAGGCATGAATAAATCAAATATTGCATTTTTTTAGAAGTATGATGCAAAAAATAGCATTACTTCTGAAATTGAGCCTAGGTTTGGTTAATTTATAGTCATGTATACTGATTTTTTTTAGATTTTACCGTATTGCATTAAATAATTTTGGCAATAAGCATGAGACAATTTTTTTTTTGACTAGGACTACACTGGTTTCGAATCCTGGGTCCGCCACTGACTCCTACACGGTTCGACCCGATGCTTCCGGCGTTGCGGCCTCGCCGCCAGCTCCTGGTGGCATCCCTCCGCCGCCTCCTCTGCACCCCCTCCTCCTCTGGTACTGGCGAGAGTGATCTCCCCGTCGACGCAGCAGCGATGGCCGCGGCCGCAGCGAAGGCCCGGGAGGAGGCGGCAGCGCGCGCTCGGGCAGAGGCGTACAAGCAAGTCCAAAACTTCGATTGGAGTAGTGGCGCCGACTGGAAGGCCGCCGCTAACATCCTCTTTACGGTCCCCCCCAAGCGCAAGGAGTTCGGGTGAGTATCAATAGACGACCATCTTCATCTCGTAAGGTTTATGGGTTTTATAGTGTCGGTAGCAATTACATCTCGAGGCGAGGTTAGATGGAATGGGAGTAGGATAGGGGCAATGAGATGAGATGGAAGTTGACTAGTCTCATTTTGCTGGAAATGTTTTAGCTTGTTTTGGTTTTGCTTCATGATACAAGTTACAATCCTGACAGTTATAGCATTGGCTGAGGAGTTGTCACAAGTATGTCATTTAGTTTTGCACGTACTGTGAGGTTATTTAGGAATCTCTTTTGAATAGCCTTCTAGAAGCAGTTTCCACCGCTCCAAATTAGCTAGAAATGAGTAAAAATGCATGTATAGATTTATTAGGGAACTTGTTAACCCTGTTTTATTTCTGATGTGCAAAATAGCCCAGAAAACCTCTGCAAAACTGAATTGTCCCCAAAGAGAGGTAACTCCCAATTTATGGAAAATCCAGTCAGGAATAATATCCTCCAGAGACCTAGGGTTTGCATCCAAGTTACTCTTCTTTGATGCAAGACTACTGGAATGTTGTGAAGCAATGAAACATATGTGATTTACAGTTTCAAGCTTGCCACATAGAGCACAGAATTCACCCCACTGCCAGTTATTTTTTCCCTTCTCTTCTGCAGCTGATTGGATCTTATCATGCAATGCTTGCCATAGGAAAATATTTACCTCCAAGGGCATTTTGCAGTTCCAAATTTTCTGTGCATTGTAGCTTGAAACATTCCTCACAGTCAAGTATCTATACATAGATGGGCCCCTGTTTGTATACTGTCTCCACTTTGCTTGAACCCATTCAACCCTTGTTTCCATCCGCAGCTAATAATATGGTACTTAGTTCAACATATTAAGTAGTTCCCACTGTCTGAAGATTTATTTTGGACAAAATGTCTCCAGAACCCAATCTCTCATTCCCCCTCCTTGTAAAAGTGAATTAGTTTTGTGAATTGATCCCTGCAAGTTGAGAAGACAAAGGAGAATAAGGTTGTAATAGAGAGATCATGTGTCCAAATATCAGTCAAAGATCTTGTCTACCTGCTATTGTGAACAATATATGATACCCCTTTTTCAAACAAGATATGGGATATAGCCCCACCGAGAAATGGGCCCTCCATAAGGATCAGTGTCTAAAATGAGCCCCGATTTGGCATGTATTTGTTCCTCAGCAACTGATACCCTGCTCACTGTCCCGCCATAAGATTAGCTTGCAATGCATAACAGATGTTGGCGTCCGATGGACTTTTGCCAGTAGGGGTTTGCCTCACCCTGCTCACTGCCCCCTATGTGGCCAGGAGAACAAGACAATCCAACACATCCTTTGTGTCTGTGTATTTGCAAGACAAGTGTGGTTCCTCCTCTTCTGTTTATATGGACTATCTGATTTATCACCATTCCCTGATGAAAAAAATCTTATGTGAATGGTGGTTGAGAATACTTGGTTTGGCCCTGGCAACATCAAGGGTGGCCTAAATTCATTGATCACTTTGGCTGCTTGGCCTTGTGGAAGCATTGTAATGATGCTGTCTTTAATGGAGTTGCTCCCAGTCCTAGTGTACAACTTGTGCCTAGCGGGTGCCTGGGATCTGGCTCACCTAGAGGTTATTGCTAGATAGGAGGCTGGCAGTTCTGTTTGGTTGGGTCCTTTTAGTTCATCAAAGGCACAAATGTGATTTTTCTGTATGAGGGGTGTGGCAAACTCAGTGATAGCGCAGCGGTAGGACCTCTAGTCGGTAGGCTGCTGGTCAGGGTTTGAGCCCTGGCTTGCACGAAGAAAAGGCCCCTTGCTGTGTAACTGTCTTCAGATATACACGTTCTGCAGGCGTGTGCTGTAGGCGTGTCCTGGGCAGCTAGCTTTCAGGGCTTTTCTCAACCCTGCAGTTCGAGGAAATTTCTACCTTAACTATAATGCCTCGTGGGAGGTCTTTCCCCCTAGGGTCGAGTTTTTTTTCCCCTGGTACGAGGGGTGTGGAGGTGTGAGTCTTGGGTGCATTGTATTCTCTGATTTATTCTTCTCAATGCAATGATATCAACTCTCTTGCGTATTAGAGGAAAAAGGCACCTGATACCATGGGTGTTGAAAATTACTTTCAATTCTCCAGATCCATTTAATGAGAAGACATTCATTCAGAACCTTCTATTTAGCATACCTAAGGCTAGCATCTCACTCATGGTATTTAAATTGTCACTTGCTCCTCTCCAAAGAAGCCTTGATCCCACTTGTTTCCAGTTTCTGTTGATTATTCTCTTTGGGATGTATGTATTAGTTATCTACCGTGATACATTGATACTTCTATCAAAGATGTCTGAAACTTAGATCACCATTCCAAACTGAGTACCACTCAATCTGTAGAATTTGCGTGGATTGTAGGTTTTGGAGTTGATTTCCATTAAGAAACAAATTCCAGTGACAAGCTTCACCGGTTTCTGTCTTTCTCGTTCCATTTCAGGCTTGATTTCCACCTTGTGCAGCTCTTCTTTGCCTGCATGCCCTCACTAGGTTTGTTTCATGAGAAAAGTCTATTCCTTTCTGATGCTTGGCCGTGCTTTGGAAAGCCAACTGTGAATGTTGGTTCTTCCTTTTGAGAATCTTATGTTGTGTTCTTTTGTTTTGTTGTGCAGCTGTCTATTTAGTGGCCCAATATGCACGGAGGGAGATCAAAAGGATGGAGGGGGTAATGTACTGTGACCTCTTATGAACAATTTTTAATGGAATAAATTATCTATTTTGGAACAAATATGATATTTGACAACAAAGGGCTGAACTGTGAATTACTTAAAGCATGTTCAGCTGTACTTACCAAAATATGGTGGTGCGAATTGTTTCCATAGACCAAATGCTACTTAACTGATGCATTTATCTGCAACCACAGTAATTGAAACTGAAAGAGGTTATTTGTTTGGTAATAATGCTAATTTAATTGAGTTTAACCATTGTCATTCACTTGAAAAGCATACTTGAGTTGGTTATGTCTGTCGTGTCTGTTTGGATAGAGCTGTCATGGAGTCTATCCTATATGCATCAACCATGCTGCTTATGAGGACAGTTAAATGGTTAGTTGATGCATTTTAGACTGTTTGCATTTGCATCTTATATTTACTTGGGAGAACCTGCAACCATATATTCTATATTGGATTTCTCTTTCATTGTGGTATAATTGTATAAATGCAGAATGACGTTGTTGTTTTGCAGTTTTTCCCTTGCTCGACCAATTATGGATCATCTCCCTGTAGAATGCCATATTTTCTTGTTTCTCAAAATGTACTCAATGATGATCTTAAAATTCTTGATAAACCAAACTTTACTTTTCATGTTTGCTTTTGAGTTCCAGTGGCTTTGCAACCAAATTGCTGTAATTATCAAAGATAATGGTCTATTATTACCTTGTACCCACAGCAAGTTCAAATGAAGTATCCAATTTTCAGATGTGCCAATGCCCAAACATAAAAAGTACATCCGCTAAGAAAGAAGTTTCTTATGATAATATAGAAGGCATGTCCACTAAACGTAACTTTACTGAAAGTTGATGTCATATTTCAGGAAGCAGAAGAGAAAAGGAAAAAAGATGAGGAACTTGAGAAACAAAAACAGCTTGAGGAAGAATCTGCCAAGGAGGATGCTGATTCAAAGCTTTCGAAGGTATTAGACAGGCTAGATACACTAGAGGTTGTCGTTAAGGAAATTGTGGATGACAAAAGGAAACTCTCTTCCCCTGATTTACCGACCAAAGAGGAGGTTGCGAAGAAGGATAAAGCATCTCCGGGCAAGGCTTCTGATTCGAAAAACGATAGTCAGCCAGTGACAGTCAAGAGTAAGGACATCAGCTGTGCTGCAAATGCTCCAGCAAATACTGCAAAACCAAACATTAGGGGGATTTGTGATAAGGCACTTCCAGTTGAGTCCGAGAGTTGATAAATCGTTCTATTTTCTTTTTGTGTTTCTTAGGGCCATTACTGTTCTTGGCTGGGATTCGTTTGAGGTTTTCCCCCACTTTCAACACAAGATGGGTGTTTAGCTATGTAGTCTTGTCCTCAATGCTAAGTGAATGGATAGATGTAATTTCCACTTTGGAGTTTCCACACCTGTGATATGATGGGTCTTAGAAAAAAAAATAGCGAGCTAACGTTTTGTACTACCTAGCACCTTTGATAGTTGAGGCTGCGATTTTGGATAATGAATACGACAAATCTTTCTGCTTACTAGGGTAGGGTATTGTGTGGTAAATGCACTTGTCTGTTTTGTGCAACTCGTGACATCAGAGGCTCCATATCAGACTAAAGAAAATACGTCTCATTTCACTGTATTCTTGCATTGTGTGTGTGTGTGTGTGTCATCAATCTTTGTGTTTCTCTATAATTTTAGTCAAACTTGAAAAGTTTGACGCTTTTTGGAATGATGAGAAAGCAAATATTCATCCTCTTTCTTTCTCTTCCAAATTTGTAAGATGAATCGGCAAAGGTTATAAGTCATGTCATTAGATTTGAATAATACTTAAATCTGCCTCCAATAAATCAACTTCTAGGCCAAAGTCAAACTTTCTAAGTTTAATCAAATTTATATAAAAGAACACTAAGTTTGACACTTTTATAATGCGCCTTAAGAATTGGAAGTCCATATCGGGAACTATTAGAAGTGTTTCTTTTGTCCACACCAAAAGCTATTTTTTCACGTATTTTAAGGAGCTTTTGAACGAAGATGTTTATAAATTATAATACATTATACTTATATTGTTATCTTCTATGGGGTGTTTGAAACAGCTCCACTTCTGAAAAAGTGAATCTGGATCTGGGATTCACCATTGAGCAGCTCCATCAGTGAATCTAAGATTCACCATAGATCTACCAAGGAACTGTTTGGCTAACCGCAGCTCCAGATCCATAAAATCGAGGTTTTGGTTGGAATGGCCTGTTGGGGTTGTCTGATATAGTTTTTTTTAGTACAGGACACGTGTTTTGTTCATATTTGTTAATTTTTTAACACAAATAAAATATCCTGACACAAATATTCAAGAGCACTCAACATTAACCCACAAGATAGATAATTAATTAATACATGTCCATGACAACATCTCAACAATATTACGATTGTCCAATCATAAAAAACTAAAGATTAAATGAAGACTAGTATTAGTCATGAGCATGCTATTGCAAACTGAAATACAACAGTGTTATAATAGTAATTCGTGCTGCCTCGATCTGTCTGCCTTGACATTGGCAGGATAACTACACATCATACAAACCCAAATTTTTACAATTTGGTTCTTTTTTTAAAGAAAATTTATGTTTGGTCCTCTAGGAGACTTAAACTTATCTTTGGACCCTAAGGGTCGGCGCCAGGACTCATGGCGCCGAGGTAACACGTCTCGGCGCCACAGATCTTGGCTCCGAGGTGCCTGGCCGAGCACAGCATGGCATCCTAGGTGGCGTTCACGTGTCCGGTACCTCGGCACCAGGATACATGGCGCCGAGCTCGACGCCGCAGATCTTGGCGTCGACTTCGGCGCCATGTATTCTGGCGCCGAGCATGGATAACCGCGTGCGGCCACCGCAGCTCTCTCTCGCGCTCTATCTCTCCCTCTCTCACGCTCTCTGTCTCTCCCTCTCACCGCCGCCGTCGCCCACGCCTCCTCTGCGCACCTGTCGCCTCCCCGTCCCTCTCCTTTCCTCCTCCTCCGCCGTCGCCCGCGCCTCCTCCGCACACCGGTCGCCTCCCCGTCCCTCTCCTCTCCTCCTCCTCCTCCTCCTCCTCCGCCACCGCCGACGGTGCCCACCACCGCAGCCAGGGCAGCCACGCCCGCCCGACGCCGCCCCCTCCCCTCCCTCCTCCGGCTCAGCCACACCGCCAGCGCCACCGGGAGGCACCGGCCGGCCGCCCTGCCACCACCCCCCCACCGCCTAGGTGCCCACCCAGCAGACCAAGTCCCCCTCCCGCGCAGCCAGGCACCTCCTCCTCCTCGACGCCTTGGCACACACATACCAAGCACCGGAGGCACCGGCCATACGCCCGCCACAACCCCGCCCGCCTAGGTGCCGTCACACTGAATTTTGCTTTGTTTCTTGAGCTTGCACAGATGACTCATTGTTGCTTTAATCATTACCCTAAAAACAGTTCGGTTCGCTCTCAAAATCTTCGGTTTAATCGAGTAGTGTTTACAAAGATTTTTCGGTTTGTGGTCTCCTAACAACGTGACCATCTCTCGTGATACAAGCCTAACCCATGTTCAAGAAATACTCCTTAGTCAAAATGAAACTGAAATGTCTATAAAATTATTTGTTGTAGACTTAGTTAAGTAGTGAGAAAATGAGTTTGCAAGGTTTTGAGATGCTCGAGGGTTCCAGGTTCCTTGACCAAGAAGAATTTCATGCCAAGAAAGTAGTATCCCTATCCATTCTGATGCTTTATTTGCCACTACATGTTTATTATTTTTTCAGTTGTGTTAACCTTGATCCTTGTGATTGCAATATTGTCTATCATCTGAGATATATCAATCAAACTGCCACGCAGCCAGGGAGGGCGCGACGCCTCCACGGTGGGGAAGCCATGGAGGGCAGACGGGAGGAGGAGTGACCCGGCGGTTGGTTGGCTCGCCGGCGTGGCTTGTGGCGGCCACCTGGTGTACCGCCGCACTGGAGTGGAGCAGGAGCTGAGGAGCGGCGGCGAAGCGGACAACCGCAGCAGCAAGCCGGCAGGCAAGCAGCGAGGTAGTTCACTAATCTCACTTGCAGCAGCCTTGCGCACTGGTAGCCATATGGTAGGAAACTAGGAACGTAGGATTGTACTAGCACATTGCACATTGCTGTGACAAACTAGGAACTCACATTGGTAGCTATGTGATAGGAATGCAAATTTGTAAAATTCGCAAGCAATTAGTAATTTGTAAAAATGTTTCTTCGGTGTGAATGAAGATGATATAATGGAGACTTTTGTGGCTGTTGGGAAGCATAAGCCCAACATCGAGAATAGTATTGTTGTCTTATTTGAACTATCCTAGATTGTTAGTTCTATTCTACTGAGGATGTGCTATTACAGTTATTTAGTGATTTAGTGATGTAATTTAGTTAGCTAATTTAGGTAGATATTTATTTAGCTAATTTAGATTATATAGGTAGTACTTGTAGTAGATGTAGTTAGATAGATAGATAGGTGGTTTAGATTAGATACTTATTTATTTAGGTAGAGAGTCGAAAACTTTTACATGTATGTAATTTAGTTATACCCATATTAGTTAAATCCGTAATAACTTTGGTGTTGTGCATACCAACTATATGGACAACGTAGTCACCCTGTATCATGGAGAAAGTGTGGAGGAAGATGAGTTTGGGAATGTCAGTTTTACTGGAATGCAAAGGGTGCCAGTGATATTCGATGATCGGCCATTGTTTTCTAAGTTGTTTGGTAGGGCTCGTGATGAGCTTAAATGCAATTCAAATGAAGATGCCATCTTAGTTGAGGGGGTACTTCACCATGGCAGGTCAGGGACAATTTTGAGGCGGTTGGTCCCAATTGCATCAGAGGCTCAATGGAACAAATATATCAAAACTATCATGAAGAATGAGTTTCAATGTTTGGATTTGGTTGTGTGGAAGTTCTCCAATGATTCCACCCCTCATGGGTATTCACCCCCTAATTGTCATTCACCCCTCATGGGTTGTCGCCAGCACCAGAGAATCCAGCACCCTCTGAGCCTCTGTTATCCAAATGTGAGGTGGATGTGGAAGATGTGGTTGTGGTGCCCGATGCTCAATCCACCCCGAATGAGGTTGGTGTATGTCCTGGTGTCCGTGCAGAATGTGGGACTGATGATGTTGTTGGTGCCCCTCAGGAGATCCCTTTGACCCAGAATCATCCTAGTAAGTGATTTAGTAACACTTTTGCTTTCCTTATTCTTTGTTCATTCCATTCCTTTGTCTCAATGCTATCCATATTTGTGCTTTAAATGCAGGAGACAATCCTGATAATGATGGTTGTGCTCCTGTTCCTCCATCAACCAACGTGGACCCAATGTTTATGGCCTCTAACAGTGTAGATGTTGATATTGCGGATGATGAGGAGCCTTATGGCACAGCAAGGGTCGTTGATTTTGATGATGACCGCCCAGTTGTAGCTTCGAGCGAACAAGAAATGGAGCTCATCAGACTCTTGTGTCCTGATCGTGATCCACTGGTTCATAAATTCAGCGACCTTAGCCCTCTTGTTGTTTTATGCTTAAGTAAGTTGTTTGAGCTAGTGGTTTTGTACTTAATATCTCACTGCTCAAGCATGACATCTAGCATAACAGAGGTAGTATGATGATCATATGGTATTCATTTGAATAATAACTTATCTGTATGCACTCACCATCTTATTAATTGCATCTTTGCATGACAGAGGCTAGCACGTAGGCTGCGGCGTGCTGCAACTTGTTGTGGTTGTGGTACTAGCATGGCGATGGGCGTACACGGGCCACACGGATGACAATGGGACACACCTGTAGGCCTCGGTTCTTCTTCTCATGGAGGTACTAGCGCTGCGACTGTGGACACTTTGTAAGGCCACGGAGACGAGGACGATGAGGAAGACGACAAGGAGGCCAAGGAGCGTGGTTATGATGAGCTTGCCGAGTCTCAGCTCTAGGACGCTCCTTCGACTCGGCCTACATAGGTTGTAGGAACGAGAAGACGTCGTCCGCCTTACACGTACACTCCAGGCACCGGCGCTCTTGGCCATAAGGGCAAGGGTAAGACTAGGAGGCAGTGACGACGACTCGTAGGTTAAGACTATGGTACCAACTTAGATTCGATGCCACAAACTATTTGGGTTGCATGGACTTTGCTTATTTTGCATGTGTGGAGATTTGGAGAGTATGTAGTTACTTTCCTATAACTATTTGGGACTGTATGGACATTGTGGGCTATTTGGACTATGCAGGACAT